GAATTCATTTTTCAACACTTTCGAATTTGTACACTTCTAAACTTCGCCATTGCGATACATACTTGTACCTGATTGCGTTACCATGGAAATATAAACAGAGCTCAATTGTATAACATACATGCGTACTAATGGTTCCTAGCACAAATCCTGCCATGAGACGGGGGCTTTAATGAGAGTGAAGTATGTGTTCGTGATCTCAACAGCGTTTTTCCATAACTGTAATAATATCAGCGGCATCAACGGAGTAAGACATGTCCCACTCTACCGGTGTTCTATTGTTGTAACATCGGTTTACGTGCACTCAATAAATGCAACCAATTGGATTTGAAGTACGTGATGACACTGATAATAAAAACTACATTGGTCGGGTCATGTTAAGTCGAGTAAGGTCAGTTAAGTTGTGCAAATACTGTGTGACGTGTTTTTCTCAAGTCGGCTGATGACATCCAAATAACATCTCTTCGTGCCACGGCTGACTTGATTAGCCTAATGTGCATACTAGAATGTCCGTGGTTATATGCCATAGCCTGGATATGACACGGTAAACATAAAAATAAAATACCAACAAATCCGGAAAAAAATACTAGAATCCGAGATACGCGTATTTAAAACGACAATTTGTTGGTTGCGCCACAGTGGAGAGACTGTCACGTTGGTTGCGCATATAAACTATTAACGCTTGTAGTTTACATCATCACGTGACCATGATTTAACGGTATCTAATCTATTCCTTCTCACCTATTTTTCTCCTCCTTTACTCCCCTTGCTTTTAAACTGACTTACTGATCAACAACGAGGGCCAGATTTTCACGTGATCTTAGCATATATATATATACATACATATAAACACATCGCTATGTATTCATTCACTAATATGACTATCGCCTAAATTCATATTCAGCCAGTGTGGTTGACAACTAGATTGCGTCCGTATCTGACTGAAGTGTCCAATGTACTTTAGTTCAAACCCGTTACCTGTGATCATGTCATGGATACATTCAATTTCAACTTTCAAGTCCGTTGCTGTGCTTTGCGTGGCAGCCAAGGAAGATATCATTGGAACTACCCAGGCGTATGTTTATAAAATTTGACAAATGAAAAACGCCGTGTGAAATGTATTTGAGGAAGAATGAAACATACAAACAGACCAGCGCACATTGTTGGACTATATCAACCAGAACTACTGGGAAAAACGTTCTATTGTGGAAACACGATTTCTATCTCTACAGACATGTACGGCTCATTGTTGCACACGCGGCAACATTCTCCATTATAGGTGTTCGTTCACCACGTGTCTCTTACTATAAACATGATTCTGCGTGTGTTTTTTTTTAAATCTATGTCATAATAAACCTAGTAGTATGTCAGGATGTAGAAACAAGCACACTGGGAATTTGTGGTCGACAACAATATTTTCTAGCTATTTCATTGCGAGGTATTATATCTTGTTGCATGATATATCCCGACCAGCTATCTCATTTGCTGCCGCAAAGGTCAGTATAGCATGGATTAAAAAATATAAATAAATTGCTGAAAACGCACCCCTTCAGGGATATTGTGAATAAAAAACACAAAAAGGCGAGTATGTAAGATTTTGACAAGTTTCACGACTATCACGCATGCGCAGTCACGAGTAATACCTATTACACTATACTAAGCTTATTTTAAAAGTTATCCCGAGACACAGAAATAACTTTAAAGCACAAAAAAAAACAAAAAAAAACATGTTCAACAGTGGTTAAATCTCTGAGGTAAAATGAAAGGTCATATAGACACATCTATTGGGAGCGCAAATTCGGACCCGTATCTCTGCATTGCGTGGTTAATTCGTGCAGCTTCTTGTTAGAGGTAACGTCCATATATACGTACGTCTGATTGTATTTTGAGAATTGACAAAACTTCCTGGTTCACGGACCAGTCACTGTAAACTGAACCCCATACACTCAAGGGTCGCCCTTTTATGGCGCGCAACGCTCGTACCGGACAATGTTGCCCAATTCAGTTGACAGAATGGTCCAACAACGTGGTATTCACGTTTGAGGTCTACTTCCAAACGCGAAACATCGTGTATTCAACAACGGCATGTATAATTGAAACATACGCTCGACTAATTGGAACGACGTATTCGGGCATTTGAAATGCAGGTATATTATTAAATTGTTCAAAAATGAATTTCCCATTCTTGAAAAACCCCCACTTCCTGCGAATAGTTCCTGTTTGTAGTTCCTGTAAGTAGACCAATGAGTAATTCCTGTAAGTAGTTGCAGTAAGTAGATTATGTGTGTTGTTTCTGTAAGTCGTTCCTGTAAGTAGTTCGAGTTAGTAGTTCATGACTGAGTAGTTCCTGTAAGTAGTGTCTCTCAGTAGCTCATGTAAGTTGTTCCTGTAAGAAGTTCAAGTTCTGCGAGTAGTTTATGTAGGTAGTTCCTGTAAGTTGTTTATCTGCGCTTTATACGTTATTAATGACTGTGTTACCGTGAAATATAATTATAAAAGTGTTATCTTATGTTTGAAAAAATAAAATAACAATTATATCTTATTTGTATACAACAATATTTTAATAAATAACTATGTATAAGCTGTCTGTGTCACTTGTGGAATTTGAACAAAAGAAATACCTCATGTTAAGATTGTATCCCCACTTAGTAAATATGTAAGATATCACCCCAGAACATACTAAAACATAAAATGTGTTAAAGTGGTGTTGTTTTAGCTAAAAAAATATGTTATAAGTAGAAATTCTGGATCATTTCCCGTTTATTTTGGAAGAGTCGGAGGGTCTTATGTTTTTGACAACTGAAACACACCTAAAATGTAACCGAGCTTTAAAGACAAAGCCCCCAACTCAGTGAGTGTCTGTTGTTTACATGTTGAGAGACGTCCATATTCTGCAGTTACATTCTCCATTACCAATACACTATCCCACGGTTCGATGGTGTATATATTGGTACCTCGCAGATTTGCAAAGTGTGAATGCAACTACATGTATTGGCAAATGAATAGTTATGCAATAGTGCATGTCAATCTTCAAGTTGCTTGGATGACGGTGCATTAGTGTCGTCAAAGACTCTGCGCATGTACTCGATGAGATGCACCATGGGATTACCAACAGGTAAAGCTTCCTTAAAAAACTACCGATAGCCTGAGATGTGCACGCAGATATCACAATGTGTCCTATTATTTATATACGGACGGGCACAATAACATACACTCACACGGTAACAACGTTTCGGCACAGACGCAATGTGTTGACTGTGTGAATTCAACGTGAAAATACGAATCTAATTCGATGCTGTATCACTTTGTAGACGATTTACTGAAAGTACTTCTACCATGGCAACTGTTGTTACTTTTACCATGGCAACTGCCGATGCATGTTCGCAATTTCTGGTAGCGACGTAACACTAAACATACCTGACACTGTTTCGCTTGGCGATTATTTGGCATATTTTGTTCATGCAACGTAGAGGTGTCTGGAGAAATGACCGTGAGAAAGAGAAAACTGACAACATACTGTGGAGAAAATGGCGACCCTACAATTCCATCTTTACAAGTAAAGCAATTAAAATAAAAACCACGGAGAAGGCAGGTTAATGAAGAGACACTAATATACAAAATGTATTCTGTCTGACACGATGTTTTACAGTCATGAACTTCTTTAGGAACTTTGATTCTTGTCCGAAGTTGTCTTCAGACTGATGGAAAGCTTGCAAGTCTGTGTGCATTTTGACCCATAATTTCTGTTATAAAATGTAAGTATGTTAGGCGATTCTTGTAAGACAGCTGTTTTGGGTGCCACGTTTGTTCGTTTTAGTTAGTTTCGGCTCGACTCTTTATTGGACCGAGATCGAGTTTTTTTCGGCACGTACAGTCTCGTACCCGAACGTTCACAAACACATTTCGACGGTTTCAACGCTCGCACGTGTCGACTGGGCTCTCTAACGTGAACGATCATGCCGCAAAATCAAAGTTGGGACTGTGGGCACACTCAGGGAAATGCACGACAACCTATTACCTCACGGTCATTACAAAACTATCTGGTTATCAAGCGGTCGACACTAAAGGACTCTGCATATTGTTTTAAGGATTTTATTAACTTCAAATTAATATGTGCTGGTTCTTCACTGTTTTAACTTTTAAATTTTTACCGTAATATTTAAATAATACAATACAGTAAAACAAAACAAAACAAAACAAATTTTAACTTATTTTAATTTGGCAAATTTTCTCAAAAAGTAAATCGCTCACCCCGAACGTCGGCAATTTGAAAATAAATTCCTGGTCCCACTGTCATCTACACTTGGCGTCATACTAAGGCTGACTTGTGAAGGTAAAACTACGTTATCTTCACACTGGCTATAATTTATATGTACTTATTTTTTGTTGTTATATACACACAATGTGGCGTGTGATATTTACTAGGTGATAATTGGTAATATATGGTGTGTGGTATACTTGTTGGTTTGTGCAATTTATGCGAATATTAATATCCGTGCCGTAGATGTCGGTGTCTTGCTGGGCAACATCATATTCCCATTATAAAGTATTTTAAAGATAGTTAACAGTTCACGACACGAGTAACCCATGCAATTATAAAGAGAATGCCGTCGTGAAAAATTATCTCCATGGTAACGTTTTTGGTGTTTCCCTGCCACCCTTGTGTAAATAATTGCCTTATCGATGATTGTTTATTGGGAATTCTCGTAGGACCAGTCATAAACATACCATCGTTGCCTATACACAATCACTGAACAGCGAGCATAGTCATAGACCTTAAAATACTTGTAAGCTCTGTGGTGTAGTTATGTCTATTAGCACTGGGATTAACCAGTCAAAGAGTGCTATGCCATACACTACATGAATAAAATTCAAGTGCCATACCCTGACTTCCCTTTGTTTGCGGTTATTGTCAGTCGTTTTAGTCGAGTTACTCCCACACTGCCCATTCACGTGCAACACTGGGCGACATTCGCATTTACATCGTACTGGAGCAGACACACAGGACGCATCGCTTACCAGCTGTATTTGCATTATTTACATGAGAAATCAAGTAAGTATAGGATAGAGTTATTTTACACGTACCAAGTCGACGGCAGGCAATTCCAGCGACTTATATAGTTGCTTATGCCATGGAGGTAATACCTACGGTGTATTTCAGTTATCATCACTGTTTGTTTGACGAGTGAACAATGTCGGAGACAATAATCTGTTTTGTGGCGAGGCGGAATCATGTACTCCAACGTAGATTAAGGTTATTCGGACGGGCTGTATCCGCTGGTACGCACGCATACAGTGTACGTGTATTATTTTATTGGTGACACACTCTGTACCCAGCTAATTATAACTCATTAAACTTAAGACTTATACATTCCACCAACAGGAGCCGGATATCCTAGCAATCCGACTCAATGTGTCCACTTATGTCCGACACTCCTAGCAGTATAAGACCGTAAAAAAATAGGTGAAGTCTCCGTGCCTTAAACTACATCAACACTTCGTATCAGCACTTCGTATCTACACTAGATATACGGTGTGGATACGTGAGTCGATTATTCCCAAACAACAAGTGTTCAATGCAAAACATATGCAGGGTGGATAAATGCGGTGATAGGGAAATTAAGATACAACTAGAATATTGAAACTCTACAGAACTGTTTCATAATGTACAAGTACCTCACTCATCAGTAGCTTATATATTTAACGATTCACTGCACCAACGAGCATACTTAATACACTTCGCAAATTAACATATCGATTTAACCTATAGTGCTTGCTTTTGGTTTGTGTCGGCAAAATGATACGAGTTCATTTCTTTTGTTCAGTGTAAAGTAATGGGGTCTAAAAGTTGTGATAAATTTGTCCTTCTAGCATAAAATACGGCGTTTGTTCGAAGTATTATATGGGTTCCCGTGAGCAAGAATTGTCTATGTTATTCATGATATTGAGTGACCAAACATGTGCTTACTCAGTCCTGTCGCATTTTCAGAGACCTTATTACGAAATGAAGCCGTGTGATTTCTGTATCTTGTTTGAAATTCATTTCCAATAATTCCGCCATTTTTTTGCTTGTTTTGTTGTCTAATCGCATAACGTTTGCTTTCTGCATGACGCCAGTCTGTAAACACTTTCCGTCAAGTGGGCAAGCCGAGTCGAGTCTGGCAATTACATAGCTTATTTACTTCCGCGTTGTCGGTCGTGGTGTTCTTATCAGTCGTTATCAGAGTTTGTTTTTACCCTTAATTGTGTGTTTATGGTGTCCATACAACTATAGCTGATATAATTTCTATTTCAAATTTTCCTGATATATATATACAAGCAGCTCTCAGTAATAAGTTCAGCCAAGATAGGATCATCTGCCAGCCCGAGTAACGATATCAAAAACTGTTTAGTTGTATGTGAAGTGAGCTTTCTGTGTTTGTCCACAGTCCCTATGTGGTCTGTCCTACGGAATAGACAGTCTATAATTTCTTTTCGCATTGTCACTATTGCTATATCTGTCGTTTAAAGCACTGGCGCTACAGTCGCCACACCTCGTCGTGTTCTGTATTCTCGGCGGGGGCATCCGGGCATTTTCACCGCATGGCAACCATCACGGTGAAAACAAAGGCCGAAAATTCTCAAAAAACGGTACTTTGGGATGGTTGTTGTTTTCTCGAATTTTCACCGGCTCTTCGCTCGGCGTTCCGCGTTCTTCAGCAGCGCGCACAGAGCACATAGAAATACGTAGTACATTAGTGCGCGTCTTAGCAACGTGAACGTCTTGTGACGTAGCTCCGCCCCCAAGTATAGCACTCATGGCTACGTATACAAATGCGTGCCAAATACATTGTTTACGTGAAATTCGAACACGCGTTGCATAACGACTGTAGCGCTTAATTTGGCAAGTAAATCAATCCTTAGCTGAAAATAAATTAGCGCAGTCGTCAAAACATTTTCGCTCATCTGATTATTTTGTGGAAGCAACTTGTATAAAAGCACCCAGTTCATGCCGTTGATGGCGTATATTGTCGGCCATACCCTGATAAATGCTATTTTAAAGATGTTTTAAAGGTGTTTTTCATGCCAATCTGCAGTAAAGTGTTTTATCATATGCAGCACAGACAACATAGTATTTGCTTGATAAAAGTAAATTAACGATGCAACGCACAGCATACGTGCGCATGCTAAAAATTGAAAGAGCACGTACGTTCACGTAATTCACTATTTCCCTAAATTGAACTAAAACATTATTTTTTGTACAAAAACAATATCGTGGATTACAATGAATCAGAATTCACGCAAAATGCGTATCAATACACAAAAACGTAAAAAGCGTATCTGTTTTCCGTCCGTGGAAAACTCCGCGAACAGACTTAAAACTAAATATATTGTTGAAAAAAAAAAGAAGTTTGGCATATCAGACAGGTTAAAAAGTCACTTGAGTACTATACTTCTATTTTAATAGTAGATGTGACCAAACACAAACATACCACGTGATATCAGCTGACTGACAACACCCGGCGCGCATATCCTCTCCACTAACTCATCTTCATTTTGAAGAGACATGGGCTGTTTATTTGTCGATTTCTTTTTTTAAATTTATGTAACATTGAACTAACATTATCTTCGTGGTAAAGAAATGTTAAATTTGCATGCATACTTGTATGCTTTTGGAGCCTGACGTGCTACCCGTAGTTTTTTTTTTCACAAAGTCATAATTTGGCTCAGTTTTATATGGGAACGAATACATTTTGATGAAAAGGAGCCCGTTGTCTTTTTATCGCGCACGTTTGAGAATAACAAAAATACCGTTGACAAAATGAATATAGAGGGTGCATGCATAGCGACGTGCCAAGTAGTCTGAGAGATGTGCATGGCAACAAGCCAGTTCCCAGTTACAGCTAACATCCTGGTATTGAGTTTGTTTGGCAATAACTTGGCTACAAGTATTAGTGAAAATAAATTGAAGTCAGACTCATAATTTGACCCTACCCATCCAACCCCCGCAATTCTGTTGTTTATGCCCTCTTGATCACTATAGG